AGTGGTGTGTATTTACACACGAAGAGAAATATATATATATATATATATATATATATATATATGTATATATATATATATTATTTTAGATCTGTACTAGAAAGATAATTCATAGATTGTTTGATAGATAGCCATAGCCCCTTAACGAATGAAGGAATTGGATGGTTCATGTTGATAGGCAAATCGCTCGCACAGCAAAAATTGCTGGATTACCTCGTTTTATTTAATTTCCTATTTTCTCTTTTTTAAAATTGCTAATTGAATTTTCTGGAATTCACGGCTTTCTCTCACAACAAAATCTATTTTATATCTAACATCAACCATTTTGTTAAGAGACAAACTTTATTTTTACCGTCTAATGTCGACTAGTTTTGCCTTTCTAGTTCCAGATATAAAGGTGAATTACTCAACAACAAAAAAAAATTGTAAAACCCAAAATCTAACTCTACGCTCGGTCTTAAGCTATGTTGTCGTTATGGATGAATGAAAATGCAGCAGAATCACATGGAGAACTCGAAAATAATAAAAGTGCAGTGATATTATCTTATGTGTGCATGGTAACGTAACACAAAACACCATCATTCAAAGATACGACTGGTCATTATTTTTCTTGACAGGTTTATTTAAGAGTAAGAGATATGTAATGAGGGTATAAAAACACCTTATACAATCCAATTACGAATTCACTTATTTAAAAATCATCCTATGATGATTTCTAAATTGGCTGAAAGTACTAGGTAGAGACTAAACTCTTATTTCAAGTGCAATAAAATAAAAGTTACTGAGTATTGTTGTTGAGTTCCTTAAGAGCTTGGAACACTCTAGAGCTTGTATCAAATATTTGAGCCCTTCGGTTATAATCCAAAGGATCTTTTCCCACATCATCACCCATAATAGCTTCCCTCTCCAAACACTCCAACATCTCCACCGCCCCTTTCCCTTCTCCACATTTGTGCCTAAACCTTGTCATTCCATTTTCATCTTGTGTCTTCATCTCAGCTTCAAGCTCATTCTCCAACTCTCTCACCAGACTCCATCTTGAACATCCCACCACTAAGCCATTATCATTTCTTTGTTGTGCTAAATAGCGAGTATGGCTTTGGTATGACCAAAAGCTCAAGTTCCTTACCTTAAAAGTGAAACGATTTTGACATGAAACCATGACATGGTTGGTGGCGTTGCTCATTGGAAAAGGGGAGTAGAGTTTGTGTGTACTTGAAAGGCAACAAGATCCTTTCATTTTTGGCTATGGTGTTCGGAGCTTTGGTTTTCTATTTCTCGATGCTCCAACCTTCCAATTGAACTATTCAAGGATGTGTTTAGTTATCCGATATATGAACCAAAAGAAAAGAAAAACGTGAAGGAAAAAAATGTTCTACGTAACCAAATGTCAACTAGTCTATCGGTCTTTGTTCAACCAAAAACTTCTTTTCATCTATTACAATCATGTTATTTATATCCACAGTTTGTCGATGACTAATTTAAGTCAAAAAAATTTAGCTAATCACTTTTAATGAGAAATTTCTTTCCAAACAAGTTAACTAAAAACTAAGCACACCAACATGGATTGTAAAGTTTGAAGAAGATGAGATTAGAACGTGATTTTTTCACAATTAAATGCCACTTTCAAACACAAGGCTACTCGGTGGTTCTAAACTAGTGAAGGTGGGTTTGTATTTACATCGCCTAATGCTGAATGGGAAAATTTTGTGAGATAAGATTTTGGTTGAACGTGCCATTGGAATTCCACAAAAACAAACACATCCTAATCAATGCAGGGCCAGGGCGTTGTGGAATATTCGTTGATGTGGTGTTCCAAGGGCATGTTGTCGTCATGTGACCAATTTATCTAAACATCTAAAATGGGTGTGAAAATTTGAGGCGTGAGCGACGGTGTTTTCTAACCATGACTTCAAAGATGAGAGTGTTTGCTACTTGCAAGGCACAACCTTTGAAATTACGACATCAAATTGGAAATTGGATTCATCATATTATTGACCATTCAAAGGAAGTTGGTCCATTTTTCATCTCATTCTATCACCTATTATCATATTATCTACTTAGTATAAAATTATAAAATTAACATTACAGTTTTAATAATTAACAAGTAAAATTATGAAATTAAAAAATAAAAAACTAAAATTGCACATCAGATATTACATAGACCAAAAGTGTAATTTGGTCTTAGTTATTTAATTATAATAAACACATACATATTTCTAATATTTTATCGATTTAAAAATTATGAAACTAATTTTTAAATTTTATATTATAGAGGACTCGTGAAGATATGAGAGTTTTTTACTGAAATAATATTATTTTAAAAAAAATTTACTCAAATAGCATCTGTACGAATTTATTTACCAAGCACTAATTGTTAAAATGCTGCTGAAAAATTACCAAGTTCATTAGCGAATTCTGGTTGGTATAGAGATTGCATGTATGATTGTGTTGAAGATGGAGTTCTAAAATCTACTCCAAATAAATTTGTAAAAAAATCTTTTGAAGTTGTTGCAAACAAATGTCTTTTGTCAATTACGTTTTCTTGTGCAGTGATGTTGTGTGAAGGATTTGATACATACTGATAAGTCTCTTCATATGATCACATGGAAGTTGCACTAGTTTTAAATGTTGTGAAAGTCCTTCGTTGTTGATGGGTCCTTGGATCTTGTAGTAGTCGTGGCACAAATAGGAAATATATGAAATTGGCCATGTACCATAATATGTATTATCGTGTTTGAAACAATGGGCCTTGCATTGGATGACCCATCAATGTGTGTTCACGTCTATTGTTTCATACGTCAGCCCATCAGAAGTGGCCAAAACGGCTTATTCTGGATTTAGAACGGTCCGTTCTGGTTCCACTAATCATGTGGTAATTTTGAATCTGGAACGGTCCGTTCTGATTCATTCGTCATGTGTTATTTTTTTCATCTGGAACGGCCCGTTCTAATATCATAACGACCCATTTTGAACGTGAATAGTAAACTGTGCTAGTTTGGTAAATAAATTTGCACAGTTACTAGTTAGATAAATTTTTTTTAAAATAATATTATTTTGGTAAAAAAAAAACTCAAGATATGATGATTTTGCTTAATTCTTTTTGAGCTAAAGTAAAAAACAAATAAAAGAGTTTCAAATGAATTAGAGAAAATAAAAGTAAGAAAAAAAATTTAACTTATGGATATAAACTCGTTGAAATAACTTACAAAAATAACTTAATTTTAAATTTATATATATATATATATATATATCAAATAAATTTATTTTTGATTAAACCAACTCATTAACTAATCAATTTAATTTATAAGTTACATGATAATTCACTATATACACTCTTTGTTTTTCTTTTACATTTGCAAGTGTTACATTATGTCATTACGTATATATATTTTTTTTACTTTCTTTTAAGTCTTACATATTAACAACGCCATATTAAAACACATTCATTATTAATAGAATAATTAATGCTAAAATTTGTCATAATAGAATAATATCAAAATTTATTATAAATATTTTGTGATTAGAATTATTTTATGTTTTATATATTAAAAATTTATATTAAATATTCTCCTAATAGAATCATTTTATATTAAAATTATAATAAATATTCTAATATTAAAATTAGTATATATTAAAAGAGTTAATCACATATACACTGCCAGTGTAACGTTTTTTTACACTGGCAAATAATTATATCTTTTAGTTCTGTCCTGTCACACTGTTAAAAGTAAATGTGTTTACAGTAACATAGTAACATGGTAGAATTAAAAGATATAATTGGTTACTAGTGTAAAAAAACTTTATACCGGCTATTAACTTATATTAAAATTAATTAAATATTTGTATTTAAAAAGGTGTACAGATTTTATATTTTAGAATTAGGGTTGTCTATGCGTAATCATAAGCATAGTGCGGCGCCATTTGCTTGCTCCGAAACGCAGTGCAGCATTGGAGGAGCGCGCGATTTTCCGATTCCATAATGCAGAGTTTGTGAGAAACATTGGCGAGTAGAAAATTAGGGTTTTAGTTGGCCATGAGAGGAGGAAGGAAGAATTTGAAGAGGGCAACAGAGGAAAAACATATAACTCTTCAAGATGGGCAAAGCATCATGCAGGTGTTGTCTCTTCGAGGCTCTAATCTCATTGAGGTATTGCTTACAACTTCTAATTCTTTCAACAACAAAAAATTATTTTGTGCTCAGGAAAATGACGAAACTTACTAACTTTGATGGAGAAAGTAAGTAGTTTCAAAACATTTTATTATTTCTGCCAGAAAGAAAATAGAACAAAATAATGTATGTAGAGAAAAATATAGAGATTCTTTTAAAAGCGTGGAAAAGGGGAAACTAGACAACATGTGAATCGTGTTAAACTTGCTCTATTCAATGTCAAAAATCCTTTCCTTTTGGCAGCAGGGAGTGTGTATTACTTTTGTGTATATTGGTTCTTATTTATGTTTCCCTTTTGATGTCTGAAGGTGATGGATGCATCTGGCAACAAATCACTGGCTCTATTCCCTGCTAAATTTCAGAGAAGCATGTGGATTAAACGAGGTTTGTCCTATTTAATGCTGAAACCTGGAAATCTAAAAGTTGAACGGAGATTTTATAAGGGTATTGTTTTTCTTGGTCTGCCTCTATATTGATCAACCAACCCTGCTTTCTCAATGTTGCAGGAAGCTTTGTTGTTGTTGATGAAAGTGGAAAGGAAAAGGCTCTTGAATCAGGCAGCAAGGTTGCCTGTATTGTTTCTCAAGTTCTTTTCTATGAACAAGTTCGAGAACTACAGAAATCACCAGAATGGTATGCTATTGTTTCCTGCTTTGGTTTGTATATATTTGCTTGCTTTTGGGTTCCCTTGTTGAATGATGATATAAATATATATTCAATTTCTATATCAAACTTGGATTTTGTATGGTAGAAACTAACGGTATCCATATCGAAGGCATTTTATTATATACTCACTTTTTCAATCATTTGCCTCCATAGGCCTGAAAAATTCAAATCTGAGACGTTAGATGATTCAAATTCAAATGAAAGAACTGCTTCCCAACAAGAGAATGAGCGTGAGGATGAGATGGAGGGGAGTGATGATGATGGACTACCCCCATTGGAAGCCAATACAAACAGGATGAGACCTTTTGAGTTGGAAGCTGACGAAGATTCAGAATCCAGCTCAGATACAGATGATTGAATCACATTGTTAAGACTCCCGTGCCTGCATAAGATTTGTTACCTTAAAGCTAAACAGGCAATGTGTGGAAGAATAATTTTGTCCTATCTTTGTGTGCTGAATGATTCTGCTGTATATTTATGTCTCAGCTCTCAACTAAAAGAAAGGAATTGAATTGGCCAGAAATCATTTGTTTGATTAATTGCCACTTTGAAGTCTCCCTTTCTTGGTGGGAGGGGAACAAGGATATTTAATTTTATGGCATCAAAAAGTTAAATTTATTAAGGACAAAATATTTGTTTAGAAAGGAACTATGAAAATTTTCATTTTAAAAGGATGTATATGCCAGAAGCTGGGAGTTATTTGTCTTTGATTTGACCTACAATATGCCATGGTCGTAGTTTTACTAAAATTTAATAGTTGCAAACTCGGTATTCTCTTGTAATTGTACCTTTTATAAACAATATCATTTTATATTCGTTTGTTTCTCAGGTAAAAATTGCAACCTCCTGAGAACTGAAAACATATATAACAAATATCAAATGTCATTTATTACCGAATGATAATTTGCAAGCTTATATTATACCATTACTTTTAGTTTTATTATACAAACGGCAAGGCGTATAATGTGATTCGATGGAGATAGAGCACTGTTGTAGCGAATACTCAACTTGGATACCATTTTCCACTTGTCTTTCTGAAACTCATTACTGATACATGATCTGAATTTATGTTTGGGCTCATGCTGTTATTTTAACGTGTGGATATTTCCGACATAATCACTCTTCATATTACTGGTCGAGGCTCATCTACGGTCTATCTTATCCAGGGACCTGGATTCCCTGCTATCATGTTCTAGTTCAAAATTATAGTTTATATTTTATTAACTTTTCAATGTATGAGAAAATAAAATCAATAATGGAGATTTTGAGCAGTTGCTTTTTCAACTGCCATGAGCAGTTGATTTTGAGCAGAAGGGAAAGGGATTATCGAGGATGACATTTTTGTACCATTTTGTATATTATTTAATCAAATTAAAATTTAACACTTTTTAAAGTGACATGAACATACTTTAAAAGATAAATTATAATTATAACTATTGATTAAAGTGAACTTCTGTATATCTTAGAGGTGTTAAATTTATCTGGGTTTTTTTTTTTTTAAATAATAATGATGCAAAAGAGAAAAACAAAAATAAAATGCCTAAACGCCTTATATAAAAGTTACTGTAAATTAGTAAATGTACCGCAACTCTTGGAACATTTTTATATGCTCACTGTTTATCAAAACAGTAACTCTGATCTTTCAAGAAGACTTTAAAATACCCACATCAAACACTTTATACACAAAAGTCATAATTTTACAACAATTATACACCAAAATATCTGTTACAGAAATGGTATGAACAAAAATTAAATAATTGTGCTAAATTGCTTCTGATACTCCTACTACCTAATTCAAGAAAGAAACATTCCAGAAGAAACTAAGAAAGAAAATCACATCAAGCCATCATGTGGATGCTTTAACATTACATATTAAATTCTGACAGAGAACTCCCCCGTTGATCTTTCCGGCTTCAGTTTAGATTCAACAAACATTTTAGTTCTCTTGACTCAAATCATTTTCTGAATTGAGTATGTGCTCCTTAATTATCTTCAACATAAGGCCGAGTCCCTCTTATCACTTGACTTGGTGAAGAATAACCCATAAGTATATGAAGTGATGAACTTTTTGGTGGTGGCCTTGCCTCTATTTCTGATGCCAGTTTCCTGGACCCAGACATATTGGAGGAAAAGATAGCTGATCCATCTGTCTCCACTAGACCCTTCCTTGAACTATAATATCTTGGAGCAATGTTCTCCTTCTCAGTTGAAGGCTCAAATATACCACGAGAGACACTTGGATTATCATATTCATTGCCATGCAAGTGATGAGAATGTGCCAGAGAAACAGGCTCTCCTTCTGAGGAGTAGCTTTTAGAGATTGAAAGTCCATAATCATCATAATATGAGATGGCCTCAGCAGGTGAATAATGGTAATAGTTGGCATGAGATGTTGAAGGTAGATTGCTGCTACTAATCACCTCACTTTGATTATTGAGGTCACTTCCTATAGCATTATCCGGTAAGAAAGAAATTATATGACTTCCATGGACTGAAAACTTGAGCACCTCTGAACATTCACCACATTTTAGCTGATGACATGTCCTTTTGAAAAGGAGAAAATCTGCCGGTAGCTGCAACAGGTTGAAGCATTTACAACAAGTGACAAAAGGAGCTCCACCTGCTACTGGCCTGTGATGTCTCTTAGCCGCTAAGTTCATTTTCTCCCGCAAATATTTCCTTAACTCGGGAGCCCTATGTCTCAGATCATCAATTTTTGTTTCACGGCCATATATTGGTGGAAGTTTAGAGGGTGTGAACATTTGTGGACTTGAAGGATAAGAGTGAGGAGAAAAAGAGCAACAGTCTTGGCCTAGACAGGACCTATGTAGCTCTTCATGCGGGAAAAGAACACGTGGTGACATATCTGCTGAAAAATGCCTCTCCTGGGAACAACAATGGTAACAAGAATGATCAACATGGTGTGCATTGCTTGTTACCTCTGCTGAATAAGGTATTCGTGAGAATTTATTATGCCTTTGGCGCCAGTTGACTCCATGACCACATCTTCCATTACACGAAGGGTAATCCAAGCCATGAGAAAACCTTCTACCATCATGAAAGTCACGACTATGATATGAAGAAATATGATTCACATTGTAAGAGACACCCTTGGACTGTCTTCCATTTGCTTCTCCACTCATGTAACGAGTCCTGTTGAGTCGATCCTGCAAGTTACGAATCAAGCTCACCAGTTGCATCTCCTCTTGGCCAGTGTCCTCGGAGGATTCATGTGAAAAAAGGCTTGAGCTGCGGTAGAGCTCATCATGCATTTGATTTGATGAGCTGCCCCTTTCATAGTAAGAATGGGAACCACTTCGATGGAAAGGTGCTTTGGGTGGAAACTCATCTCTCTTTGTTCTCATCCAATGTCGATGACCATTTCTAGTAGTCTCCACCACTTTGTGTTGATTCCCCCTGCTGTCTTTTGTGGCATGGTGCTTTGCATTAGGCAAATTTGATTGATGTTGTGTGTCAAGGCCTTTTCCCTTTCTGGTCCTTCCCCCAGAAACACCATTAGCAATGATGCTAGTGTTGTCAAAAGAATGTGAATGTTGGACAGGGAACCGCTCATCCACTCCATCATAAGAAGAGAGGCTGCCATCATAAGCATAAGAACTTCTATTGGTTGGAGATTTAGACAATTTTCCAGGAACACCACTAAGCTCTGAACTGGGATCAATTAATTTTGTGGTAACTGTTGTATCCACAGACCTTACACGGTCAAAGCTATGGTGAATATTTTGCTGAGCTTCCTTCTGTTGTTTATGAGAAGATACAGGATTTGCAGGTGTACCTTCTTCAAGTTTATCAGGACTAACATGTAAAATGTTTCCCTTCACCCTACTTGGTCTTTCAGTTGTAGAAGTTCTTTCTGTGGTGTGCACTTCAGGTTTTGCACCCTCTAAAGCTGCTTGATCATTGTTGGAATCTCCTTCATCTGGTACATTTTCAGCTCCCTCTGATGACAATTTTCCATCATTTAACTCTTCTTCTATATTGCTTTCAGTGATCTCAACTTCATGGTTTTCACCAAATGGGGCTGATTTTTCTCTTGTAATGCCCCATAGGCCTCTCTCGGGTGACCTTTCATGCTTTTCACCAAATGGAGCTGATTTGTCATTTTTGGCATCTTCTCCCTTCAATGCAGAACTTAACTCCTCTTCTGCTCTCTCTGGTAACGAGTTTCCACCATTTAAATCTTCTGCTTCTTTTGAACCACTTCCAGTAATTTCCACTTCAGGGATTGCACCTGCTAGAGCTGATTTGTCCATGTTGACATCTTCACCATCCAAGTCAGAAATGAACTCCTTCTCTCCTTCTAGTGACAAGTTTTCATTATTTAACCCTTCTACTCCTAAATCACCTTCAGTAATTTCCTTTTCAGATGTTACCCCTATCAGAGTTGATCTATCATTATTGCCATCTTCATCCAAAGCACGAACAGAATCCTCTTTTGATTCTTCTACCAAGTTTCCATCATTTATCTCCTCAATCTCAGAGTGAATTATCTTATTTGAAGTTGAACAACCCTTGCTAGACACTCTATTCCTTCTGTGTGACAAATTATAGATATCTGATTCAGTTTCATGTTCTTCATCTGATAAAACAAACGGTACAAGCTGATCCCCATTGCATTCACCATCTTCATTTTGACATTCTCCAGGAGAAGTTGCTTTTTCCTTCAAACTATCTTCCTGAGAAGGAACCAGAAGCTTTCTATCATTACATTTCCCCCCCTCAGAAACATGGTCCAATGCATTTCTAGTAGCGGCATCAGTTTCTTGTATTCTGGATTCTGAGTTCACAGCCACACTTGCTCGTTTCTTAGCTGTATGGAGAGAAATAAAAGGCTTTAAGTAATTCAGAACTACAAGAGGTAGAATGCATAGAATAGAATCAACACCCCATTTGAAAACCTAAACATAATGGTAAAAGTTTACATACACGAGATCTGTGTCAACAGATTAAAGCAGTAATATTTGGTTCAGAGTTAACATAAATAAGACATGTATATCAATCAATCAAGGAGAATAAGCCCTGTGAAAATAATTTGGTATGAACAAGTGTTCATAATTGATCAATAAGATAATATATGTCATGGTTAACCCTAGCATGTTGTGTAAGAGTTCCAAAGGTGCAACACAATAAACACTACAGCATTGATTTTTATTTTTTATTTTTTATCTGCAAAGTTTTTTGCAACAGAATAAAATATGAAAAGTATGATGGTTTAGATTTTCACCTTGAAGAGTAGTGCCACATTCACCACACTTGTACAAATCACATCCTGGAGGCTCTTGAAGAAGTAGTCGGCATTTAGGACATCTAACTACCCTAAGTTTGGGAACCAACTCACCAGACATCTTCCTCCAAATATGTAAAATGTGTTATTGATCAAGTCCAAAGATTGGGTCTAAGCTACCAATTTCACAGAGATGTAGATGCCAAAGATCAAATTTCCAACATTATCTGCATACAAATAACAAATGAATAAAGTTCAGCTTGAATTATTGCAAAACAACTTAAAAAATAATAATAAAATTCCACCACATTTACTAATTTTGGACAAAGGTCATTTTCACGCATCTTGTTACCTACTATAGCATTTCTATAGATACACCAACTGCTTTTAAAAGGAACATTCTCTAAAATCTGCAAATTATGACAAAAGAGCTTGAACGTGCTTTATAAGTTAAATCCATGATTCTCAAACTATCCATCTCATACCCTTCTACGGTAGTTCCGTACTCCATAGACTATAAAACTGAAAATCTCATCTCATAGCCATAGCTTACTATTTTTCTTATAGTTTAAAATCTTCGTGAATAAACGGCAAACCAGTATGCTAATGTACCGATGGAAAAACGACAAACGCACACATAAAACGAAGTTTAGTCTTCACAGACAAACGCACACATCCAATCAAATGTTAAATTTTTTAAATAGCCTCAAAACATAAAATATTCCGACTTCATAAAAACAAAACAGCTAGCTTACCAGATTTACAGAAACAACAAAGAGAAGGGGATGAAAAAAATAAATAAATATCATTGAGAATTTGCAATATACAATTAAAAAAATGATATTTTGAGGTAATGAGTCCCGTGCCATTAAATGAAAGAGGTGGAAAACAATAAAATTTCATAATGTGTGCCACGTATGGAGGAAAAATAATATAATCAAAAATTGGTTGAGAAAGAAGAAGTGATTGACATGAAGAATGAAGGTACCTAGATAGCTATAGCAACCTTTGTTGGCAGGTTAAATCGCTGAAAGAATCTTAGCAAATAGATGAACATGAAAAAGAAGAAAGAGCAAAACTTTGATAAGGGTGCAGATAGAAAAATGAAAATTGTGAAGAAGAAAGATGTTATAAGGAAAGAGCAGAGGATGTTGTAGGGAACGTGGGGAATGAAGAAGGTTTTCGTTGGCGCAAAGATTAGGAGCAAATTCAGGATTTGAAAGGGAGAGATGTGGGGTTGTATAGAAAAGTAACATGGGTCTTCCATTTCGTGTTTAGAAGGGTTTGTGGTCAACTCTGACCAAAACAAAACGCACAAACACTTCACTTTTCTTCTGTGACTTTGAATTTTTGGTCTTGTGTGTTCACTGCGTTAGTTTCTCTCTCTTTGCCACCGCTAACTGGTTTCTAGATCTTATTTCATACTTCTAAACTATATGATTAGTTTTTATATAATATATAGTAAGAATTATTACTTTTTATAAATTAATATATTTAAATTATATTCTGTGAGTCATTATTTGTCAACTATACAACAACAATGTTCATAGGAAAACGAAAATAAACAGTTGGTAATCTTAAATTTACTAGAATGACCATGTCGTGTTTGGTGTGATGATTTGAAGGGGAAGGGACCGGACAACTTGGAACACACGTCGGAATGCAAGAAAGTCCGCGCCACAATTTGTGGGTCCTCTTCTTTTGACTATGCCAACATTCTTTAATGTTTTATTGTTCACATTTTAATTTTGGTTTTCCATTCTCTATGATGAAATGATGTATTGTTTTTGGCGGTGAGTAGTCACTCTGTTCAGGTTAAGGAATGTAGGATTGGATGATAATTTTCTATTTTTCTCATAAAACAAGTCTCATTTTGTTTATGAAAATCACGGATCACAAAACAAAACGGATCACTCTCATTCATTTAGATTCATCCCCTCATTGATAAGCAAAAAGGAAAGAGTCGAGCTGCCCTATCAAGTAAAAAAGACATGGACTTTTTGGTCCATCTTGATTAAGGGTGAATTGTCGGGTGAGTCACTATGTATAAAAAAATGGATAATAATATTTTTTTTAATATTTATTTTAATTATCTCTTTTAACATATTTCTTTTTTATATCTAAATGATTTATATAAATTAGTATATTTAAATAATAAAATATCTCAAATTGTAACACGTTTAATTTGATTTGCTACATAATAAATATCAAATTTGTTATATAATAAAATAGATATATAATTATAATAATAATAACTCTTAACAAATTTATTATACAAAAATTTTAAATTATATATAATAAAATCAATCAAATGTATAACACATTTGTTATATAATAAATTTCAAATTACCCAATCTAACCCATAGTACAATCCATTCCTAATGAAAATATATCATGTGTGGTTTATATTTTTATAAATAAGAGATTGATTTAATTGTTTATTTATGAGAATATATTATGATTTGATACATGAAGTATGAACATGGGATCTTGTAGGGACCACAATGGTGCCCTCCAACACAATTTAGCCATTAATGACAAATTTTTAGTGATATTACAAACTAAAAAAATAGTAACTTGGAATAGGTCAACATTTCATAAGGGAAAGGAGAAAGAATGTAAAGGGGTGAATCGCATATGTAGATATTAATCAAGTGTTGTTCCTCTCGATTAAAACTTCCCTATATCCTTTTATATCATACAATTCATTCTTATATGTATTAAAATAAACAAGCAAAATCAATAGCCATTTTTTTTCCTTTTTATAGAAAAAAGGTTGAATTATTCAAGTGGAACATTTCAACAAGGACTATAATACTCTCATGTTCCCTCTTTTAGTATAAGCATTTTTCTTTAAAGAACATACGAGCACAATCTAAAATGATCACGTAATAATAAAATGAATTGGTCAATGTTTAAGTAATAATATTTTAGATAAATTACATCTCTCTCTCTATATATATACATATACATATACATATACATACACACACATATTACACACAAAAAATATTAGTTTTTCACGACTAAAAGAAGTAATGGTCTATGTGTCGTTGTTAACTGAAATATAACTCACACAATTGACAACTATTTAACAGTGGCAACGACTATTGATTGTGACAAATTTTATATGGTTGACAGTTAAGTATTAGTTATAACTATTTAAGAAGAGGTGACTCTAATTGTAAGGACCTATTATGAGAAACACGGACAACCATCATGATTTTGAACAGTTATAGTGAGACACTGATAATTAGCAAATAGAAGAGTAGGAATTCTTAAAAAAAAAAAATAGATATATTATGCAATCTTCTTATATACAACTCAAGTTATCAGCTAATATAAAAATGATAATTAATGATGTAAAAGAGTTCAACAACCAAATCAATCAAATTCTCTTTTTTTTTTTCCTTTTATGCTTCCTTTACTAACTTTCCTTTACTGCTTTTATTATAAAGCTTTGATTTACAATTTTATCACTTATTTTTAGTTGATTATGGTTTTCAACCTTCTAAGCCTACTTTTGACCAATTTTTGAGTTATAATTATTAGGAAACTCTTTGGAGTGGACTAAGGACCAAATCAAGGTACAAGGGACAAAAATTTTAGTCACTTGCCTAGAGTAGGAGTTATTGTGGTATTAGCTAACCCAAGGATCGATAAATTTTTCACATCAACATGCTTTAATCATTTTAAACATTAAAAAAAATATATTATTTAATCTTATTTTTAAAAATGTAATTAACTAATTTTAATAATAAAAATTCAGCATACATCACAAATATAATTTTTACAAGCAGTCATATTCAAAACAAATAAGAATTGACTAAATAATAATAATAATAGTAATAATAATAATGATAATAATAATAAATTAAGTAGACTAACATGTCCCAACCCGATGAATTGACGGGTTATTAGATAAAACAAATTAGATGGATTGATGGATCAGGATGTCCAATCTAACCCGTAGGACAATCCATCCCAAATGAAAATATATCATGTGTGGTTTGTGTTCTTATAAATAAGAAAATGATTTGATTGTTTATTTATGAGAATACATTGTGATTTGGTACATGAAGTATGAACATGGGATCTTGCTTGCAGATCTTGTATTTTGTGTAGGGACCACAATGGTGCCCTCCAACACAATTTAGCCATTGATGACAAATTTTTAGTAATATTACAAGCTAAGGAAAATAGTAATTGGGAATATGTCAACATTTCATAAAGGAAAGGAGAAAGAGTG